TGGGGCTCTCTTGAGGCTTCTCGTGGAGGTATGTTGGAAGTGATTGGGGCCGTGGGGGTTGGACCAGGGCTATGTTGAAGGCTTTGCTGCTGTTATGTTACTTGTTTTGCGGCCATGTTGGTCCACTTGGCTGCTTTTTCTCTGCCCCGTTTGACTTGGCAGGTGGTCTTTTGCGTACTGTGCGTAAAACACGATAAATCCATGAAACATGAGGTCCGACAAGTGTAAGAAAGGTGGGTTTGACAGTTTTTTGTCGTTTTTGTTGCTTACGAAAGCTAGCCCGAATGGGCAGTCAAATTTGGGGCATGTTTGCGCCAATCTTCGGGGATCTTGGTGCATTCTTAGGGCATATCCTTCTCCATGTTGGCACGTTTCGCCCAATGTTGGGGCTCTCTTGAGGCTTCTCGTGGAGGTATGTTGGAAGTGATTGGGGCCGTGGGATCTATGTTGAAGGCTTTGCTGCTGTTATTTTACTTTTTTGCGGCGATGTTCGTCCACTTGGCTGCTTTTTCTCTGCCGTTTGACTTGGGCAGGTAGTCTTTTTGCGTCATGTGTGTAGAACATCGTAAAAACCGGACAGACTTAGGTCCGACAAGTGTATGGTTTCTCTGCCGTTCGACTTGGGCAGGTGGTCTTCTGCGTAGTGTGCATAAAACACAGTAAAAACCGTGAACAAATTAGGTCCGACTACCCTGCAGCAATAAAATGTTGCTGCTCCGCTTTCCGTGTTTTTCCGACCTGGTTTGCAGGTCTAACAGACCTACAGTACATCCTAAAACATCCCACATCTACAGTAAAAGGATCGGAAGATCAAGGGCTGGCCCTCTTCGCACCAGGAGATCTGCAGACGTTCGCAGCATTTTCAGTGGGAGAAGTCTCAACTGGCGGAGAAACAGAACCTCTGGGAACCTCTGTTCAGGAGTCCTCCGAATTCTGAAACGAGACTAGACATCAATCATGTAGCATCTCAGCCTTCAATGACCGTCAATAGGGTGCTTTTGCTATCTTTTGCTTCACACTGCTCTCACCTCTAAGCCTCACCAGCTGTGCTCCACGCGCGGCTCGCTCCACGATGCTCCGCACGGCTCGCTCCGTTTCATCTCCAAGGCACAGAGCTGATCCAGGAGAGAAAACCTTCCTGAAAGCCCCAGAAAGGTCCAAAGGCTGCCGTGACCCACTCCTCAAGCGTTGGTCTCTGAACTTCGTGGGTCCGCCAGGCGAACGAGACGGTCGTTCACGGGCCGAAACGTCCCAAGACCAGGAAGAATCGTGGTGTCCAGTGATGTCCAGCGATTGGAAGACATATCGACTCGTGTGACCATGAGGATCAAAAGTCCAGAGTCACAGGCAACACCCAGAAATTGATAGAATACAGTAGTATCCAGTATCCTTGATAAATAAAACACAAACAACCTTCAACTATACTGAATATACTTTCGTGCTTTGGGGGTTAATCTGGTTTTGATTCTTGACCATTCTTGACCCGCATTCCTTGTGTGGCATCTGCACCCCTACCCTTGTCTGGCCTTAAGGGCCTAGTAAGCCTTGGAGGGTTCTTTCTGGGTGCTCTCTCATGTACAAAAGGCATCGCTAAGCTCCACTCCAAGATTGTTGTGGAAACACCCAGCAAATTTGGACGCACCCTTCAGCTCCACTTTCTTTTCTTTCTTTCACTACTTCAGAATCATGTTCAACCAATTCCATGGGAATTGCAAGACTTGGCTAACACTTGTGGTTCAACACTCTCTCTGTGCCTTCACCAACATCCAGCCACGGAGCTACGAAACCCGCATTGCTCGGGAAGGTGGTGGCCAACTCCGCAGTGATCAGGGCTTCAGGCAAAGACCAAACCAGCGGCATCACCAAGAAGCCTGTTTCATGTTTGGGACCAAAAAGGAACCCCTCCATTGCTCGTTTAAGGTCGTGTTTCGGGTGCAAACCCACAGGTTGCTCGGGGCTGAAGAGCCAGCGGTGCCCCTTTTGTTTGCCGGAGTTTGCAAAAAGAAAAACACTTCATGGTGGCTCATGGCCTCACCATTTTCCACGCTCCATGTTCCTCAAAGTGATCTGAGGCGACTCTCCATCCCGCATGATTCCGGTGTTCCTCTGGAGACATCACCCCACTAAAAGAGACGTGCGTCTATCTGTATATAATATATATTACTACATTATATTACATACGAAAACTGGCAGCTGCTAGCTTTGAACCATCAAAACCTGCTACCTCGTTTCATCCCGTTCGCTTGTTCGTGTCGTTGGCTCTCCGTCAAGCACTCCGTGCGTCCCAACTCCACCGGCTTCGGCAGCCTGCCAGTGACAGCAGCGGCCCAGCAGAGGAGACTGCATCCTGAGAGAAGATAGCAAGAGTTTCACTCGATGGGACGAGATGGCATCAAAGTGGATTGCTGTAACAGTACTGGAAACAACACATTTGCGTAAAGCAATATCTATCTAGGCTAAAATGCTCAAAGTATCTATACAAGAGTTCTGCGGGTTCTGTGGACATTCAGCTACTGGAAAGAGAACCCCATGTGAATCCCTACACCATGGGTCCTTCCCAACCCCTTGCAGCTTGGATCCCAGAACCCTCCAGCCTCAGCACCATAAGGGCCACCAGAAACCGAGTAGTAAATGATGGCCGACAAGCCCAGCAGCGAGAGCCTCGTGCCAATCAGTGCGGCCACACGTGCGTCTGAACCGTCTGACTCGGACGAAGATGGGTTGGCCTATCTGGTCATCATGTGACTTGCACCTCACGAGCACGGCTAAACCTTCTCATCCTTGGCATGAACGTATCTATGATGTCCGAAGTGCAATGGACCATGGGACCACCCCCCCGATGCCTAGGACGGCGTGGAGACGCTGCCATGGTTTTTCAGTCGTCGCCATGAAGCTCATTCAACTCATCCTGTGCATCTTGTGATCTCCATGGTTTCAGCCATGTGAACATAAATAGCTCGTTTGGTTTTTGTTCACCACGCCGAATACCATCTGGGCGCTGTCGTTGCACATAAGGCTGATTTAACGCTCTTGTAGAGTTGGTGTCTAAAATTCTAAGGTTTCTGTGACTTCTGTGTAGCGAGGTTCACAAACTCCACATCTTGCTAGGAAAAAATCGCTTTGGCCTCCATTGCACCAAAAGCCATGAGCTTTGAATTCCTGTTTATTTGTTGTTGCAATGGCTGCGATATGCAACAAACGGATATAGTTTCAACTCACTGACTTTTGCTCAGCTGATATCCGGATCTGTCAGGTGGTTACTTTGCAGCGACAACAACGTGTTGCCAAATGTTGCAATCATCTTCAAGTGTAACAAAACAGAATGTTGAGCAAACCAAAGATTGTCCTCAACATTGGGATACTAGTAGTCATGGAAAACGGTTATGGTCCAAACTCCAAACTTTCCGAGCATCAGAGTATGAGTATGGTCATTGTATGTGAATATATATATATATATACATATGCATAAAATTCATGTCATGGTGACACTGCAGTACCGCCATACAATTCCTCTTGCCAAACGAGACGTATGTTGGTTTTGCGCACCTCTTTGTAGTTGGCGATGACGATCACGTGCTGAACGCCTTCCTCCTGAGTTTTCATGTCGGGCAGGTGCGCTCGGCAAATCAGCGTTGGCCAAAATGTAATTTGCCCAAAATGCTGACTGAATGCATGTTCGAACTTTTTTTGTGAAGACCCTTTCGCAATGCAGGTTTTAGATCTTTAGCAATGTATGGCAATGAGCACCCGAACGCGGCTCAAAAATTGGAAGGCTGCGCAGAGCGCTTTCGAGAGCTTTCGCAGAACAAGAAGCACTTCACACATTTGCTTTCGTGGAAAGTTAACAAGTTCCACTTGTGCATGTGTCCTTTCGAACAAAAAAACACGTTGCTCAATTGAACATCTCAGACTGTGTGACACCGTTGCGGGACACACGACACTCTTCTAGGACAGTCTTGTGGAACACTCCTACGAGGCATAGTTGCAAATGTAGCAGGCCACTCTTCTAGGACACTCTTGCGCGACACTCTTGTAGGACAAGCTTGTGGGTCACTCTCGTGTAGGACGCACTGCCCGCACCAGCGACGTGACAAGGCGCATTTACACCTACATGCGTTCCTTTCCCCACGGAGACACGCAAACATACTTCCCACCAACGCCTTGCATTGCGCAGCGAGATCACAGACAGAATTTCGCAACACAGTACGTTTGAGGGGCAATCGTGGGCCACCCCTGCTTTCTTCCCACAAGCTATATATATATTATAGTATCTACTACATCTGCCTTACAGAATGGCCACTTCTGAGCTAGACCGCTGGACCCCAGAAAATCAGATGGGAAGTCCACTCCAATATATTCACGCGTCAAGTCCAAAGCGAGCACTTCGCGCACGAGGCAAGCAGAAGCGGGGGGAGGAGAAAACCATCCGCCCGCACCCATCGCGCAGCCCCTACAGCACCAAGCAGTTTCACCATCCAAACTCAAAAATGAAACAGCTGACGATTTTAAGCCCAAAAAAACGGTACGGCGACCAAGCACTTTCGCACCAAACGTTCCGCCGCATTTTTGCCGCTCTTTCAAATTTCGTACGAGCCTTCCTCCAGGAATGAAGTCTCATCAAGGTGTAGGTTTTATTTGGGGTGTTAGGGACAACTGACAGATCAACTGACAGCCGGCCCCAGAAATTATTTGGGTTTCGGCCCCAGAAGGCCATGAATCTCCGTCTTCCACTTCTCGCCTCCTCTCACCTCTTCTCGCACAAAGGAAGCGTCGCGCGTTCGCGTCGCGCGGCGTCGCGCCTGGGGCACTTCGATGGCCTCACTTTTGAGTTCATGGGCGACCTTCCGGATGCCCAGTAAACACAAGGCGCCACTGTAGCTCATCCCCAGACCTCGGTCCCGGAAGAACAGGCTGCCGAGATCGTCCCACAGCGAAGCCGGAAGAGCTGGGAGCTGGTTCGACAGCTGGATGCAGGTTGGGTCGGGATTCAGATGCAGAGGATCAGTGGATGAAGGGAGTGGGAGTCCTGCCGTTTCTTTGCTGAGGCTTCCCACAAAGGCTGATATTCAAAATGGCCTCAGGATGGCCAAGTGAACAAGCAGGTCGGGAGCATAGATTTATGATGATTTATGTTACTTCACATCTCTCTCGAGAGAGAGAGAGAGAGGGAGAGTCAGAGAGAAAGAAGAATCCATTTCAGTAACTAAGTTTGAAGACTTGTGGAACTGCCAGGCAGTTCTTGGCTTCTTGTGGCAAGTCCTTCCAAAGGCACATTCTGCTCAGATCCAAACGCACAAAGTGAGCCTGGGCCAATGGTCCGCAGGATCCGGCGCCAAGCACTGAGTGACCAGCGCCCGACAGGGACAGTGCTTCCCAATAAGACAAAGACTTTGAGGAACGATGGCCTCCAACCTAGTAGAGATGGCCTCCAACCTTCAGTAGAGATGGCCTCCAACCTTATAGTAAACAATGAATACCTGAACATGTTCCGGATGGGCCATCTTCTTCCCTCCGCATGGGCCGTTGATGTTTGTTAGCGAATCCGATGGCTGAAGACTCCGCCGGGCAACAGGAGCCGATCCGACAAGGCGAAGCCCAGCGCGGCCAGGGCCACCACCTCAAACGCGCCGGAGACGCACGGGGCGGGTGCCAACGCCCGGCGCAAGCCCGGGAGCCCATACGATGAGTGGAGAGTTATTCCTGGATGTTGCTGTTTTGTTTCGTGTTTCCTCTATCAAACTAGCATAAACTAGCAAACTGGCAGGTCCTGGAGTTTGAGTCGCCAGCAGGATGTGCGTGTCATGCCCTCAAAAAACCTCCAAATTCCCAACATCCGGGAGCAATAGACTGTCCTGATTGTGTTGGGCTGCAAGTGGGACTACTTACGCTCTCCAAGCATCGAAACCTATGGTGATGGGCACCCTATCTTCCTGCCAATCAAAGGACCAAATCGAAAAAACATGAAAAAAGAACGTACAGTCAGGTGAGCTCAATACAGTACCACTTCCCGCAACGACAGTTCCGGAACTTCCACCTAAGACGGTGCTTTGCCTCAAAGCAAGGAGGAAGTACGATTCACATCATCTGCGCCGGCACCGCACCACTGGAGATTTTTCAACATCGTCTCTCCCACTGGGCATCTGAGCCGACAAAAAGCAGAAGAGTGGGAAGAGTCGAGCCTGAGGCGAGGCTGAGTCTCGCGTGGGGCGACGTGGCAGGCCACTGGCGTTTGACTGTGTGTGATCTTTTTGGAATCTAAATTCTAAACCTCAAAGAAAGCAAACGGCTTTCCCGATGACCATGGTTCTGGCCTCTCCACAGTCTTTGCCAATACGATCAAAACGATTGGAAGAAACTACCAGCTCCACAGTCATCTCCGTGATTGCTGGTTATAACTGTTCTGAGTTTGAACTTGATTAGCCTGACCCACTGCCATTTCGTTCATCTCAATATTCTTGGACAGAACGGACGACCTTCCGATCTTGGTGCTGCAGGAGCTGCGCAATCTACAACCCTTCTAAGTAAATTGTCGGTCAAGTCCAGTTGTACAAGTGGCTTTCAGCCCTATAATTGGTAGGAATTCCCCTACCCCTCGGGGGTGATCATTTTATAGATCTGATTTGCGCCCCCAGGGGTTTTCACTATAAATCTAGACACGCAGAGGAGGAACAAAAGGCTAACATAGAATCACACCCCTCATGGTTGCAATCTGGACCTGATAAGACATGCTCTCCGAAGGTGGTCCACTATAGAATCACCCACCCCAATAGCCGTATCAGGTCTATAAAGTTGATAACATAGAGCAAGTGCCTTAATACTGTAATTCTTTAGTGGTTCAGTGGTTCCCTGACAAAGCAGCGGGCATAAATGATTCTATATACTGGTCTGGTCCCCAGGGCGTGAAATTCTTCAACTCGATCAAACAACATCTGTGGACCCAGGGTTTATTTTCCCAATGCTTACGTGGTATCTATAAAGTACCAGACCCTGAGGTGGGTCATTCCAAATTAAACCAAGAGTTTGATTCTCTATCGAATAGCATCTATAGCATGGTCAAAATCGACCCCCGAGGGTCCATGGTTTATAGAGGACATTCACGCCTTTATCCTAGATTATGTAATACTTAGTTATATTTATGACATGTGAAACATATTGAAACATTGTGAAGCTAGTCCTCATGTTCACCACTCAAGCGTCCCATTATGTCCCATTCCAATCCGTTCCACGCCGTCGCATCTTGCTCACCCCATTGCTATGCGTCACCACATCTCTGGCGGTCCAAGGTCCAACACAACAGGCGTCCCGTCAAAGGTCGCGGTGCGACGTCGCTCATGGATGTTGCTGCGATGGAAGGTGAAGTCGAGATTCTCCTGCAACGAAGCGCCACGTCGGACCGGAGCGCTCTCCCCGTGGGGCTTTTGAAGCGACGACTCAGTTCGGTGCGGATCCCCGAAGAAATGGATGCCGTCGTCATGAACGGCCAGGGGATGTGAGAGTCCGGTGTGATCCTTTGGAGCGGATTCTTTCAAACTCATAATGGTCAGCGAAAGGCTAACAAGAAGCTACGTTCGGGGCTCCTGGCCGTATACTACTAGGAGCGAAAAGACGCTATGGACGCTATATATAGGGGCTCCTGGCATCGCTACGAACGGAGCAAGGACGCTACCGAGATCTACCGAGTAACAAGAAGTTCACAAAAAAACAG